AGTTTAGACAGAGTTCAGTTTAGACAGGGTTCAGTTGAGACAGGGTTCAGTTCAAGAAGAGTTCTGTTTACAAGGGGTTCGGTTAAGATATAGTGTTCAGTTTAGGCAAGGATTAGTTTACAGTATTCAGTTTAGGCAGGGATCAGTTTAGACAGAGTTCAGTTTAGACAGGGTTCAGTTTAGACAGGGTTCAGATTAGACAGGGTTCAGTTTTAGACAGCTCAGTTTATACAGGGTTCAGTTTAGACTGGGTTCGGTTTAGATAGAGTTCAGTTTAGACAGGGTTCAGATTAGACAGGTTGTGTTGTGTCTTATACTCACAGCTCCTTCTCTCTGTACACAAGATATCAATCTGATGAATGATGGTCCTGGTCCAGTATGTGCACATGGCGGTGTTATCATCCGTGTATCATCACCATCAGCTGTGGGCACTTCAAAGCAATGCGGCTGAATCTGAATCAGTTTATTGACACTGACAGAGGGACACATAAAATTAGGGACAGCCTGCAATCAAAAAATAGTACTCATAACACATACATGCATACATTGTAACAAAATAAAAACAAATACTATCCATTCCAAAAACTCAAAATAATTGTCCGATGACCTGATTTTTTTTTTTTTTCAATTTTCGGTATTCTGATATTTTTTAGTTTGAACATTCATAAAATAACATGTGAATGAGAACCATATTTAAAACACACCAGCATAATTTATTAGCATCATAAAATTCAGGATATCAGCAGATTTTCTATCAATTTCCAAGTTCACTTTGAGATCTTGCATAACGCATGTAAAGTTTGAACATCTGCTGCAAAAATCAAATAATTTGATTTTGAATTTAAATTTCTTTTTTCATAGTTCAATACTGAATTTCAGAGGTTTCAGAGAAGAATATGGCATTGTATACAATTATTTCAACACCAAGAGTGAATTTGATACAATGTGTTGACAACACTATGACCTTTGTTTGACCTGCTTTCACGTTCAAATTCACACATAACCTAGCAGTTTTCAAGACGAAATCACATTTTCACCAAGAATGACAAAAATATTTGCTAAAATTAAAATTAAAACAAGCAGCCTTTCAGCTGAGATAGCTCCGCTGTTAGCAATGCACATTTCAATTAAAGAACTGAAGATATCATTAGAAAATGAACAATATGTATAATATGTATAGCAATCGGACTTGCTGTTTTCAACAAGAATTCAAAAATATCACTTTTTACCAAAAATGACATAAATATTCATCAAAATTATATAATTGAAGATATCATGAAATGAACAAATCTGAGAGAGGTCCACATGTAGTACCTATATATGTAATATCAAAGCAATCAGACTTGCAGTTTTTAACAAGAAGTCAAAAATATCACTTTTTACCAAAAATGACAAAAATATTCACCAAAATTAGAGAATTGAGGATATCACAAAATGAACAAATCTGAGAAAGGTCCACATGTAGTACCTACCGGTATATGTAATATCAAAGCAATTGGACTTGCGGTTTTTAACAAGAAGTCGCAAATATCACTTTTTTACCAAAAATTACAAAAATATTCACCAAAAATAGGGAATTTAAGATATCATCACGAAATGAACAAATCTGAGAAAGGTCCACATGTAGTACCTATATATCAAAGCAATTGGACTTTTGGTTTTTAACAAGAAGTCGCAAATATCACTTTTCACCAAAAATTACAAAAATATTCACCAAAATTAGAGAATTAAAGATATCATCATGAAATGAACAAATCTAAGAGAGGTCTATCCCAGGTTTATACACACCAAGTATCAAAGCATTCAGGCTTGTAGTTTTCAAGAAGAAGTCGAAAAAGTAAAATATTGACACGAACGACGGACACCGGACAATCACTCATATGATAAGCTCAGCTCGACAAAGTCGACAGCGGAGCTAAAAAAAGTTGACGCAAGACACAAGATGACGGACAACTATAGCAACAATAATACCTATCATCTTTGATAACAACAGAGCTAAAAAGCTGACAAGAAACATTAACTATTTTATGAAACCCCATTTTTAAATTGATTTAACCAAGATTTTGAAAACTAGTGTTAACAACATACCTGCATTATGTCACCCTCGGTTAATGACCAAAATTCTTTACAAAATTTGATGTCGGCATTCCTGGTCACCTTGACGATCTGATCTGCTCTCAATGCCGAGTCCATCATATACTTACCACTGAAAGGAAAATGATAGATGATAATGAGGAAAACAGAAGAAGATATGAAAATACAACTTTTATTACATCAATGAAGTTCTTGTTAAATACTGAACAGGAATGTGCTTAAACATATTAATAACTTAACCAAAACATCATTTTATCAATTTTCACTAATTATTACACACATAAAGCAGCTCTCAACAACAGGTTGCTATGTACAAACTCATGTTTTTGAGAGCCTTCCAAATGCAAATGTGTAGTTTTCATGATAGCATCACTTAAACATTAGACAGTATCAAAGGCAGATAAGGATAAGGGCATGCAACATGAGTAATATACAATGAAGATTTCACTTCATATCATGAACTTTGGAAAACATGACATGAAATCGAGACAAAACTGCTACAGTAATCTAAATGCATTTCTTGTATAGTGAGTACGACAAACGGTTAAGTGCTCAGTAATTAGTGTAATTAATAAACATATCAGTCTGTGAGTCAAGGTCAAATGCTATGAATCTTAAAGTGAAATCTTAAGTGGCTCTTACCTGTTCATCAGCGTGGATGCAAATCGGGCAAATCCTCCTTCATGTTGTTTCCGGCTTTCTGAAAATGACGCCATGGCAACAGCGACAACTTGAAGTGGCTGCAGCATTGACTCATGGTACTGAGGAAAAGAATAAAAACATGAAATATTGGATTCCTAAATTTATTGTATTTTAAAACTGAAATCTCAAAAAGGATCAGAATATTAGATGAGCCACTTCAGTCGGAATTTAATTCTGTCAAAGGTGCAAAAAATTAACACATGTTAAAGATGGCAATGCTCACAAAAATTCAGCTACAGTAGATTGCATTAAAATTCATGAATATTATCTGAGAGGTGAGTAGTAAAAATATTACAGCCCAAAAACTGGTGTTTGTACCATCACACAAGGAAAACATTTCATCTGTAGCATCAGGCAAAACCATCTGCTGTGTTTGGGTGAAAACACTCATACATGTATTCCAGTAATACTGTAAAAAATTATTTTCGCTGATTTTTGACAAATTGAATGTAAAATATAGGAAAAAAGGTATACTCGCTGGATTTTATTTTCACGGAATCATCCCTTCAGCGAAAATAGCGAAAATTAATTCCAAGCGAAAATAAAGTATTTTACAGTATTAGAGATGTAAATTTTATCAACGAAGACATGCATTTGTTTCAAAACCCAATTCAACATAAGATAGCTAAATGGTGACTATTTTTGAGCTAAAAACCCCAAATTTTAGCCAATCCAGAGATTTGGTTGCGCATTAGAAAAGCCAAAGCTAGATGATAGCCAGCATGGAAGTTCAGCTGTTCACTGTATGACATTAATGTTACAATGCAGACTCATACTTTAAGGTAAATCTTATTTTATGCATTTTATGCTATTTAGCAATGTTTGTGCAACACGCTGAGATAGTAGGAGTTTCCATGGCCCAAATTGGCTGTCTTTTTTCTGATCTCTCCCCTCCCGACCACCTACGCTGGTATCGCTACAGCATTTCGCACCGCCAAAAGCCTTTTTATTTTTTATTGGCCTGTTGTTACAGGATGATGGCCTGCTATTAAATGCATTTGTGAAACGTCTGGATAGACACATATCTATTAATGTAAGGCAGCTTTTACCAATTGCTTTCGTGTGTTTTCAATTACTTATTCATTTTTTTCTTCATTTCTTATTACTATTTATTCCTATTATTACAGGCTGTGTACTTTGGCACAATGGCCTATGAGGCAGAATAAATATTTATATTATTTTTTTATATTATTATGTATGACATTTTCTACAGCAATGCTGTGAAAAAGAGAATGCTGTAAAAAAGAGAATTGTTGTCATTGTTTTATTTATTTTACTCATCCACTTTTATCACTACAGGATGGTGAATTGAATAACAGGCAAATTGGGTTTGGAATAAGTCAAGCATTATCACTGGACTCAAAATATCACTGAAAAAACAACTAAAAACAGAACAATATTCATTGATTAAATTAAATTTTATCATACATATACATGTATGTACACTGTATTTTTTTTACTTTGTGCAAATATTCCTTTACTTTATCTACCACTCCCCAAAGAATTGACATTGAAACCTGTTTTTACTGCCAACGGGAAATATTTGATTTAGAAATTTTGTTTAGTTTTTATTTATTTATTTATTGATTACACAGGTACATGTAAGTCATATCACGATAATTCACAATAGAATACTGGGATTTGTACAGGCATTGAGGACAGGAACACCACATGAGAGCGATGGAGTTGAACTCACAATCTCTGTTATGATAGGCAATCACACTAATCATTATGCCACACATTTGGTCAGCTGACCTCTGGAGTTGAACTCACAATCTTGTCACTATTAAATATTACACAATATGTAAATTCTGAAACAATGTGTTTTAATGTATCATACATGTAGCAATGCCATTGAGTTCAAAGGTGACATCCCACAATGCAACAGAATGATGACAGCAATACAGATGATGATTCTTGTGTTGTAGAGCAAAATGCAAAAGTATAAAAATGACATTAATATGTTTTTATTTTTTTGCAAGACCTACATGTATAGCTAATAGGAAATTAAGTCCATTAAGTTAACAATATCAGTTGAAGACATTGAAAGTATAGTTTCCATTCTTGTAAGAGATTCAGAGTAATTATTTATTTTCCAAAGTTCAAATGTTCATTTTACGATTTGTCAAAAAATGAAATTTGAAATCAAAGAAAGCTTAGAACGAACTCTTATGTGCTAGAAAGTACTGGAGACATATTTGAAATTAAAAAAAATTTAAGATTAGCCTTTCAAACAAGAAGGTTGGCCGCTAATATTTGTCTGCAATTGCAGATGCACAATGCGAAAACAATGTGAGCCACATTATTGAAGTTTATAACACATACAGAAAATAAATTGATTGTACATCCAGGGTTTTCATTCTAATTTATTCCAGGACACCTCTACCACTATGCATGTTTTTCAACTTTAAACTAATCATGTCTGGATTACCCCCAGATCATCTATGAACCAAGTTTCAATGAAGTGCGATGATTATGCACATTATGCAGATTAGGAAATTAGTAAGCTCAAATTTCAATCTGAAACTAATCAGGTCTTCACATTCTTCCCAGGCATTTCATATACTAATACTTATTGAAATACTAACTGGTTTTTGATATACAGTTAGAAAATTGAGTAATTATTATGCAAATTAACTAATTATTAGGTACCAAGTTTCATGGAAATGTAATGATTAGTAGTTGAAATATCAGCCAAAAACTGACTAACCATTATGCAAATTGGGTAATTAATATGCAAGGACTTTATCCAAAACTAATCAGTTATGCGCATTGTCCCAGATCATCTATGTATCAAGTTTCATCAAAATCCATTAAATGAGTTTTTATATACAGTTTGTATCAGTGGAACAGTCATGGAAGAGTTAAAATTTGTGAATTATCATGCAAATTAGGTAATTAATATGCAGAAATTTCAATCAAAAACTAATCAGGTCTGTGCATTAGCCCAGAGCACCTATGTACCAAGTTTCATCAAAATCCATTAAATGAGTTTTTAGATACAGTTTGTATCAGTGGAACAGTCATGGAGAGATAAAAATTGGTGAATTATCATGCAAATTAGGTAATTAATATGCACAAATTTCAACTAAAAACTAATCAAGTCTGCGCATTAGCCCAGAACATCTAAGTACTAAGTTTCATCAAAATCTAATAAGTGGTTCTTTCAATATCAGACACACACATGTACCTGTGCAGTTATTTTCTATTTAAAGATTAAATCAATCACAGAATTTAATGAAAATTAACACCAAAAGTTGTGCAGAAAAAAAAAACTATGGCATAGAAAAAATTGGATACATCTATATAAACCACACTACCATGCACATGGCAATAAAATCTAATGCTTCTAAGTCTCTTTGTAATCAGCTGGTGTCACTGTGAACAATGATAAACAGTAAGCTTTGTTATGCAAATTAGGAAGAACGATATATAATGCAAATGCATGAATCCATAAAAAATAAACATTAGAAAATATAATATACATGTAGTTTATAATCATCCAGATTTAATGTCAAGCAGAAAACAAACTGATGCAGATGCTTGTAGTATTTTTATAATTACATGTACCTATACATAAAGAAAATAATTCATGATGTAAATTGACAAAAAAATGGAAAATGTGTACATATATTAAGTTGGTAGTTTAACCCAGTTGAGAGATCAGTCAGTGTGTATAATAATAGTGGGTCATTAATTACCATATTCACTTTATTTGTAGTGCAGGCATTTGTGATAGCGGTGTCTACAGTGAATGATAGCGGTGTCAATAGTGAATGATAGCGGTGTCTACAGTGAATGATAGCGGTGTCTACAGTGAAT